GACTGACATTTCAATGAGGGCAACTGTTCCTGGTGCCATGACCCTGACTGGGAACTGACATTTCAGTAAGGACAAATGTCCCTAGTGTTGTGACCCCGATTAGGGACTGACCTTTCAGTGAGGACAACTGTCCCTGGGGACTGACATTTTAGTAAGGACAACTGTCCTTAGTGCCATGACACTGAGTGGGGACTGACATTTCAGTGAGAACAACTGTCCCTAGTGCCATGACCCAGAGTAGGGACTGACATTTGAGTAAGGACAACTGTCCCTGGTGTCATGACTCGGACTAGGGCCTGACATTTCAGTAAGGACAACTGTCCCTAGTGCCATGACCCTGACCGGGGACTGACATTTCAGCGAGGACAACTGTCCCTGGTGTCGTGACTCGGACTAGGGCCTGACATTTCAGTAGGGACAACTGTCTCTAGTGTTGTTACCCCGACGAGGGACTGACCTTTCAGTAATGACAACTGTCACTAGGTCCATGACCCTGAGTGGGGATTGACATTTCAGTGAGGACAACGGTCCCTGGTGCCATGACTCTGACTAGACATTTCAGTCAGGACAACTGTCCCTAGTGTTGTGACCCCGACGAGGGACTGACCTTTCAGTAAGGATAACTGTCCTTAGTGCCATGACCCTGACTGGTGACTGATATTTCAGTTAGGCAAAATGGCACTAGTGCTATGACCCACAGTGGGGACTGACATTTCAGTAAGAACAACTGTCCCTAGTGCCATCACCCTGACTGACTGGGGACAGACATTTCAGCGAGGACAACTGTCCCTGGTGCAATGACCCTGACTGGGGATTGACCTTTCAGTGAGGACAACTGTCCCTGGTCCCATGACCCTGACTGGGGATTGACCTTTCAGTGAGGACAACTGTACCTGGTGCCATGACTCTGACTTTCAGTGAGAACAACTGTCCCTAGTGCCATGACCCATAGTGGGTACTGACAATTGAGTAAGGTCAACTGTCCCTGGTTTCATTACTCGGACTAGGGCCTGACATTTCAGTAGGGACAACTGTCCCTAGTGCCATCACCCTGACTGACTGGGGACAGACATTTCAGCGAGGACAACTGTCCCTGGTCCCATGACCCTGACTGGGGATTGACCTTTCAGTGAGGACAACTGTCCCTAGTGTTGTGACCCCGACGAGGGACTGACCTTTCAGTAAGGATAACTGTCCTTAGTGCCATGACCCTGAGTGGGGATAGACATTTCAGAGAGGACAACTGTCCCTGGTCCCATGACCCTGACTGGGGACAGACATTTCAGCGAGGACAACTGTCCCTGGTCCCATGACCCTGACTGGGGACCGACATTTCAGTAAGGACAACTGTCTCTAGTGTTGTGACCCCGACGAGGGACTGACCTTTCAGTAATGACAACTGTCACTAGGTCCATGACCCTGAGTGGGGACTGACATTTCAGTGAGGACAACTGTCCCTGGGGCCTGACATTTCAGTAATGACAACTGTCACTAGTGCCATGACCCTGAGTGGGGATAGACATTTCAGTGAGGACAACTGTCCCTGGTGCCATGACTCTGACTGGGGACTGACATTTCAGTAAGGACAACTGTCCCTAGTGCCATTACCCTGACTGACTGGGGACAGACATTTCAGTAAGGACAACTGTCCCTGGGGACTGACATTTCAGTAATGACAACTGTCACTAGTGCCATGACCCTGACTGGGGACTGACATTTCAGTAAGGACAACTGTCCCTAGTGTTGTGACCCCGACGAGGGACTGACCTTTCAGTAAGGATAACTGTCCCTAGTGCCATGACTATGACTGGAACTGACATTTCAGTAAGGACAACTGTCCCTGGTGCTATGACCCTGACTGGGGACTGACATTTCAGTGAGGACAACTGTCCCTAGTGCCATGACTATGACTAGGGACTGACGTTCAGTAAGAACAACTGTCCCTAATGCCATGACCCTGACTGGGGACTGTCATTTCAGTAAGGACAACTGTCCCTAGTGCCATGACCCTGACTGGTGACTGATATTTCAGTTAGGCAAAATGGCACTAGTGCTATGACCCACAGTGGGGACTGACATTTCAGTAAGGACAACTGTCCCTGGGGACTGAAATTTCAGTAAGGACAACTGTCCCTGGTTCTATGACCCAGAGTGGGGACTGACATTTTAGTAAGGACAACTGTCCCTAGTGCCATGACCCTGACTGGTGACTGACATTTCAGTAAGGCAAAATGTCCCTAGTGCTATGACCCAGAGTGGGGACTGGCATTACAGTAAGGACAACTGTCCCTAATGCCATGACCCTGAGTGGGGGCTGACATTTCATTAAGGACAACTGTCCCTAGTGCCATTACCCTGACTGGGCACTGACATTTCAGTAAGGACAACTGTCCCTAGTGCCATGACCCTAACTGGGGACTGACCCTTCAGTAAGGACAACTGTCCCTAGTGCCATGACCCTGACTTGGGACTGACATTTCAGTAAGGACAACTCTCACTAGTGCCATGACCCTGAATGGGGACTGACATTTCAGTGAGGACAACTTCCCTGGTGCCATGACCCTGACTGGGGACTGACATTTCAGTGAGGACAACTGTCACTAGTGTTGTGACCCCGACTAGGGACTGACCTTTCAGTAAGGACAAATGTCCCTTGTGCCATGACCCTGAGTGGGGACTGACCTTTCAGTAAGGACAACTGTCCCTAGTGCCATGACCCTAAGTGGGGACTGACATTTCAGTAAGGACAACTGTCCCTAGTGCCATGACCCTGACTGGGGACTGACATTTCAGAAAGGGTAACTGTCCCTTGTGCCATGACCCTGACTGGGACTGACACTACGCGGTCTCGTTGCCACGTCATATGTTCATACTTAGAGGACGTGGCATTACTCAAAGATCTACTTGGCGGATGCTATCATCGCAGAAGAAGTAGATGCCTATTTCCGTTTTATTATCCTCGTACTATTTAAAAGGTTTCCATGCCAAAGTTTCCTTGGATCAGATTTCTTTCTTTTTTAGCCGACCTTTAAGTCTTATATATTTGATTTGATGTCATTCAAGAATACCTCATCGTCTAATTCTTAGATACAAAAGGAATAGAGAGTCAAAGTCTTAGAAAGCCCTCTCCCTACAGTAAACGCGCACCATATGTTAGTAAAACAGGTAAACCTTAAGACTTGAATATTAATATGACTTTAATAATATAATAACTCACCAGTTTTTATAGTTATCAATTAAAATCGAGAATTACTACAAATATAACGCACGTGGTTATACTGTTCTAAGAATGCTTTTGGTTCCAAACGATAAGCGAACGATGCTTAGATGGTGCGCGAACGATGCTTAGGTGGTGCGCGAACGATGCTTAGGTGGTGCACGAACGCGCTATCGACAACAAACGACTTGTTTGACGATAACTATGTTTTCTATTAAATGAAAGATTTATGAATAGTTACATGTACTTACGCAATCGAAACGATAATATAATATTGTATATCAGTGCATTTACCAACAAACCATTAGACATTCCCTTCAGTTTTCCTCTTAATCTGCTGGTTATTTTCTGTACTAATGTTAATGAGAGCTAACACATCAAGGTTACTTGTGTAAAATCACACTTCCATCTCACAGCACATGTTACAGGCTGGCGTCGGATTTATTTGACTATATATTGACTATAGCCTTGCGGTTCTTCAGAAGAAGTCTTTCGACGTCTTTGGCAAATTTGGCCCCTGTGACTTTCATAGTAGATCGTTGCTCTTTTTAAATTTGTTAAGATTCATCACTGAAAGTTACCAGCCAAATATCATGACGCGCCTTGCCTGGTGGTTCTTCAAAAGAAGTCGTTTGAATGTTTAAAAAATAAGATCCCCGTGACCATGAAAGAGAGTCATTTCCATTTTTATGCAAATATTTTTAGGTCAGAAAGCTTCTTACTAAATATGTTGACTCTAGGCTTTTTGGTGTTTCAGAAGAAGCTTTTTCATTGAAAAGTTGACGGACGACAGACTCCGCTCAATGACATCAGATCATCTGCCCTTCGGGCAGGTGAGCTAACATATAAAGTCTGTCTATATAAAACATGTTATTTTCCTTGTCTTTAAGCAATGGTAATGCAAATGTACATGTACCTGTATTTTTAAGCTGGATTGTTTCAAAGACGTTACATTCTCAGCGATTACATTTCGTCCGTACAATATTTTCATATTCTAAACTGTGTGTATAAGCGCAAGAACGGTTATCATAGCTGTTAAAATCAAACATTATTTTTAATGATAAACAACGTTAAAGGTAGATGAAACATTGAAGAGTCAATAAAAATGCATTGTCCATCCGACCTCAGAAGAGGAGATCTTCTGTTTTTAAAGGATTAACAAAACATCCCCATTTCTTTTTCCTAATATATATTTACTGTACTCTTTATCTGAATTAGGAATACCCAAGTTGCATAGGCAGGGACACATTTTGTACCTATGCCTTAACTTAAATTGCTGGTAATCTTTACCATTCAAATAGAAATATAAGAGCGCGTATACTTCAGTCTGCGCTAAATCGTTCATGTATATATGTTGTAAACCTATATATGTTTTTAACCGGCGTTATTATCCTACCGCTTTTTCGCTCGTTAGATAGTGCACTAAAATTTTATTGGCCAATTGAAGTTGCTGTACCTCATTTTCTACAGCGTATTTTGTGGATGTGCCATTTATCAATGTTCTATTCTATTAAAATTTGACAATTCGCTTCAATTTGAGTCCGCTTAATACATACGTTTGCAGTTGTCCAGATACGTATTCAACAGTTACTGAACAGCCTTGATACCTAGACCATTTGCCATTTGGTTTGTTAATATTAGGTTAAACTACATCATTGGCGATATTATTTTACATATCAGATTGTATAACATCAACTATTCTGATGTCCTTTTTATATATATAATTGTTATTTCAAATGTAGCGATTATTTAACGTATGTTATGACTCTTTTGTCAATGGCAGGACAGGTTGAACTGGATGACGTTTGGCGGAGATTGGGGACGTTTGGTAGGTACCAGCTCGTGCAGGCCGCTCTTTTGATGACTACAGTGATCCCGGAGGGGATACAGCTCCTGGTTGTCGTCTTCATTGGTAAATATAAAATAACACTGCACTCACTCGTAAATCATGTTTCAGCACAAAATTTCTAATTTATTTCTTTAGCATCCTGCCTCAAGTTTATTTGTGTTTTGTGTTTGCTTATTATGCAGCTTTGATGTGGTAACTTTTGGACATTTAAAAAAAAAATCTGCAGAAGACTTGGTCTATTAATTTTTCTGGCGGTTTGCTAGCAGTTAGCCCGAGTTTTCCCCTGGCCCTGACAACAGACTTAGACATTTGACAGATAGATACCCAGTGGCGGATCCAGAGGGTTTTTTGGGGCTTCAGGAAACCCCCCACCCTGAGAATTTTCTTTAAAAATCATGTATTTTCACCATTTTCCTCAATTTTTCCCCACATGGAAACCCCCCAAGGAAATTTGGAAACCCCCCAGATAGGTTTCTGGATCCGCCACTGCTACCCATACCAGAAATCTATCTGTCAAAATGTCTAAGTCTGGTGTCAGGCCCACACCAGTTTGATTTATATTTCGAATGTTGCTCGCATGTATGTAACGGAATGTGGAGTTTTTCCAAGTTACCTGTTCGGCTAGTATAACTCGGCATTACTAAACTGTTAACAGCAACGCAGTTTGGATTTTATTTTATTTTCTCTAAAACATTTTCTTTTTCTTTTATATGAACATCCATTTCTACCCATTAACGGAGTTATATATTTTTTATGAGGCTGAATATGTTTTCGTAGGATTTCGGCCACCCTACCACTGTGCGAATGTGTCTTCCTCACAGATTATTGCGGACACCGCCAAATACAGTAACACAAGCACAGACCTGTCTTACCATGAGTGTCATGTCGACTTCATTATCAGTGACACAAATACTACACTTCTGTCCTTGTCGCCATGTCCAGCCGGGTATAACTACGGGCTAGAGAAGGACAGAACGTTTGTGACAGAGGTAAGCAATGAAATGGGTAGGTAGAGCGAGAGAAGCACCGAAAGTTTATGTGTACGGCTGCCATATGAAGAACGAATTGTTATTCAGACGGAGTTACTGCCCCTGAAAACCGGACACTCACCCTAAATATCCACGAATACCATAGAAATCTCCACTTTTAATCGGTTTATTAATCCTAAGATATGTGACACAATCTATTATGTCTCACAATGCGTGAATTAGCTGCTATTTTCTTCAAGTATACACTGAAATACATTTAGAAGTGAATATGAAATCCGTAATTTTGACAAAGGTTTCACTCCAAGCAGTACCATTTTATACGTTTCATAATGGCGATTCCCACACCACCGGGTCTGGAGCTTTTCCACGTCGTCCAATACATAAAAGTTAAAGGGATTTAAATCCTTCTTAACATAACTGAAATACAACTACATTCACACTTCTCACATCACACACAAAACCCTTCCACAGCTATTATTTATTTTTATAACATTTTACAATGTATATAAGCTATATAGCTATCAAATCACACAGATATTGGCAGACATTGACCAAAAGTCATGTTTACGGTAGATGCACGCTGCAGTTGTGAAATAATTAATATAGCATACTTAAGGATGTACTCTTCTGAGGTTTCAATCACGTTCAAGTCTCGTTTTGATCTAGTGTAATGGGTTTTTGTAATATTTAACAACTTATGATCAAGTTTATTAGCAAACACGCATCTGAAAAATATGTCAAAAAACTAGATGCCTGTTGTTTGTAGAACTTTTTTTACAAGAATTTAAAAAATTACCAATTCGGCGGCCATTTTGAAAATGTGGTTTATTGTGTAAATCTTGTGCTTCAAAAAAGGCCAAATTTGCACCTTTTTTGGCACCTGATTGATCACTTAAATTGTCATTGTGTCGCCATTTTTAGTTGTAGCAGGTTAATTTTTGCTGTACAACTTTATAATGTTCAATATGATAAAAATAATATGCAACAAACTGGAAAATTATACATTATTGATATTTTTTTTACGTTTTTGTGTAACTGAAGCACTTTTGATTTTTGAACCCAAAAAAACTAAAAAATAACACAAATGATAATGGGACAAAAAAAGAAGCACACTGACCCCCCCATTTTTGTAGATGTTTTAGAAAGAGAAACACGTTTTCATTTAATTCATTAAATATTAAAAAAAGTTAAATACCAAAACTTTTTATATCAAGCGTTTAATCTGTAAAAAAAATGGTAAAAAATGAGTATTTTTTCATTAAAAAATAGGGGGTAGGGGTAACTAAAATCGGCTTTTCGAGTTAAAACAATAAGATTAAGAAATTTTACTTCCATAATTTAAAAGAAAATAATATTTTCAACAATTCTACAAACATTTATACATATCTGATAACACACTTGGAAGAAATTGCATGAATTTGTTCTGCAAGTGGTCAAAACCCAAAAAATCACCTAAAATCACATGTTGTGGTAAATTGGTATCTTTGACCGATTATAGCACAAAAACGAGCACACGCCCATATGTTTTGGTTTTTTTGCATTTCCTACTATGCCATTTACTCCTTTTTCCAAAAATCCATATAAGAAAAAAAGTTTATTACAGGAAATTTTTGACTTCTCAGAGGTGTACATCCTTAACATGTATGCAGATGATCCAATATTGAAAACTACCAATATAGTGCGCTCTGACATATTGATTATCCTCATCAATAATTTGAACTGGGTATAGACCTTCTTTCCATGTTGATGCATTTGCGTTAGGTAGTCCCCCCCGGATGCAGATACACTAATGTCATTCAATTCTATGCACCAAAATTTTTTATTGTAGACTTGTAATAAACAACTAAAAAAATAAGGGGTAAATTAAAATAAGAATATAAATTAATGATTAGATGATATATGTAAAACCGGTCCGGGCCAGACGTTACTATAATGATTTATAAATACACACTTATACAATCAATCAATCAATCAATTTCTTTATTAATTCATTTCTGCCCACATGGGGCAACTAATCAACCTGTAGTAGATGTACACATTTATAAACATAGAGTAGACAGGTTAATGGACATTATTATTGAGATCACATTTTTTATGCTAAAATTGAAAACATTCTACTGGCGAATTTGCACAAGACTTAAACTGTATAGTAACTAAATTAGGTTTTGATGAATAATTTGAGACAGTGAGTTTACAATATTGTTGTTTTCATTATTCATCATGCAACCACTTGTCTGGTGGTTCTATAGGGCTGAGAAGCTTGGACACTTCATGTTACAGGTGTGAAATAAGTCTTGTCTTCTATATATTTATTATATTCTCATCGTATTCTTATGCAACTTACATGTACCCCTGAACTCAAAATGTCAAATTTGGGTAGATCAATGTACATGTCATTGATTATATAACTTAAATCGAACCTATTGTCATTTACTGTTCGAACACTGTGCTTTGATGAATGAATTATTAATAAATCGTAATACTACAAGGGATTAATCAATAGGTCCCCTAATACCCAGGCATATCTTTCCGTATGCACCGGACAAGTTGTAGCCACACGCAAACAAAGAACAACTATCCAGAATATTCACGTAATGACTTCAAACTAACTTGACAGATAGTGTTAACAATGGCGATGAATTTACTTGGTTTCTCCGTCGCTTTCCAGACGCCATATTGCCCATGCTGATAGAAAAGGACTTTATCACGTGGTATGTCAGGAACCATAACTCTGTACTGGAAAAATTGTCAAAGGCGCGGTAATTTTCCATAAGAGAGACAGAACTGAAACAAATGAATGTATATATATGTATCATGTGTATATGTATCATGTGTATATCAATCATGTGTATATGTATCATGTGGGTATGTATCATGTGTATATGTATCAAGTGCATCATGTGTATATGTATCATGTGTAACATGTGTATCTGTATCATGTGTATATGTATCATATGTATATGTATCATGTGTATCATGGGTATCATGTGTATATGTATCATGCGTATATGAATCATGTGTATATGTATCATGTGAATCATGTCTATATGTACCATGTGTATCATGTGTATATGTATGATGTGTATATGTATCATGTGTATATGAATCATGTTTATATGTATCATGTGTATATGTAACATGTGTAACATGTGTATCATGTGTATATGTACCATCTGTATCATGTGTATATGTATCATATGTATATGAATCATGTGTATATGTTTCATGTGTATATGAATCATGTGTATATATATCATGTGTATATGAATCATGTTTATATGTATCATGTGTATCATGTATATATGTATCATGTGTATATGAATCATTTGTATATGTATCATGTGTATCATGCGTATATGTATCATGTGTATATGTCTCATGTGTATATGTATCATGTGTAAATGTATCATGTGTATATGTATCATTTGTATCATGTGTATATGTATCATATGTATATGTATCATGTGTATCATCTGTATATGAATCATGGGTATATGTATCATGTGTATATGTAACATGTGTAACATGTGTATCATGTGTATATGTATAATGTGTATATGTATCATGTGTAGCACGTATATATGTATCATGTGTATATGTAGCATGTGTATATGTATCATGTGTATTATGTGTATATGTATCATGTGCATATGTATCATGTGTATATGTATGATGTGTATATGTATCATGTGTATCATTTGTATATGTTTCATGTGTATCATGTGTATATGTTCCATGTGTATCATGTGTATATGTATCAAGTGTATCATGTGTATATGTATCAAGTGCATCATGTGTATATGTATCATGTATATATATGTATCATGTGTATATTTATCATGTGTATATGTATCATGTTTCTATGTATCATGTGTATATTATCAAGTGTATATGTATCATGTGTATCATTTGTATATGTTTCATGTGTATCATGTGTATATGTTCCATGTGTATCATGTGTATATGTACCATGTGTATATGTATCATGTGTATAAGTATCATGTGTATATGTATCATGCGTATCATGTGTATATGTATCATGTATATATGTATCATGTGTATATGGATCATGAGTATATGTATCATGTGTATATGTTCCATGTGTATCATGTGTATATGTATGATGTGTATATGTATCATGTGTATATTATCAAGTGTATATGTATCATGTATATATGTATCATGTGTATATGTACCATCTGTATCATGTGTATATGTATCATATGTATATGTATCATGTGTATCATCTGTATATGAATCATGGGTATATGTATCATGTGTATCATGAGTATATGTATCATGTGTATATGTCTCATGTGTATATGTATCATGTGTAGCACGTATATATGTATCATGTGTATATGAATTATGTGTATATGTATCATGTGTATAAGTATCATGTGTATATGTATCATGCGTATATGAATCATGTGTATATGTATCATGCGTATCATGTGTATATGTATCATGAGTATCATGTGTATATGAATCATGTGTATATGTATCATGTGCATATGTATCATGTGTATATGTATCAGGTGTATATGTATCATGTGTATATGCATCATGTGTATCATGTGTATATCTATCATGTGTATATGTATCATGTTTATCATGTGTATATGTATCATGTTTATCATGTGTATATGTATCATGTGAATCATGTCTATATGTACCATGTGTATCATGTGTATATGTACCATGTGTATATGTATCATGTGTAAATGTATCATGTGTATATGTATCAAGTGTATCATGTGTATATTTATCATGTGTATATGTATCATGTATATATATGTATCATGTGTATATGGATCATGAGTATATGTATCATGTGTATATGTTCCATGTGTATCATGTGTATATGTATAATGTGTATCATGTGTATATGTATGATGTGTATATGTATCATGTGTATCTTGTGTATATGTATCAAGTGTATATGTATCAAGTGTATCATGTGTATATTTATCATGTGTATATGTATCATGTTTCTATGTATCATGTGTATATTATCAAGTGTATATGTATCATGTGTATATTATCAAGTGTATATGTATCATGTGTATATCTATCATGTGTATATGTATCATGTCTATATGTATCAAGTGTATATGTATCAAGTGTATCATGTGTATATGTATCATATGTATATGAATCATGTGTATATGTATCATGTGAATCATGTCTATATGTACCATGTGTATCATGTGTTTATGTATCATGTGTATCATGTGTATTTGTATCATGTGTATATGTATCATGAGTATATGTATCATGTGTATATGAATCATGTCTATATGTATCATGTGTAACATGTGTATCTGTATCATGTGTATATGTATCATATGTATATGTATCATGTGTATCATCTGTATATGTACCATGTGTATCATGTGTTTATGTATCATGTGTATCATGTGTATTTGTATCATGTGTATCATGTGTATATGAATAATGTGTATATGTATCATGTGTAGCACGTATATATGTATCATGTGTATATGAATTATGTGTATATGTATCATGTGTATAAGTATCATGTGTATCATGTGTATATGAATCACGTGTATATGTATCATGTGTATATTTATCATGTGTATATGTATCAAGTGCATCATGTGTATATGTATCATGTGAATCATGTCTATATGTACCATGTGTATCATGTGTTTATGTATCATGTGTATCATGTGTATATGGATCATGTGTGTATGGATCATTTGTATATGTATCATGTTTATATGTATCATGTGTATCATGTATATATGTATCATGTGTATATGAATTATGTGTATATGTATCATGTGCATATGTATCATGTGTATATGTATCAGGTGTATATGTATCATGTGTATATCAATCATGTGTATATGTATCATGTGCATATGTATCATGTGTATATGTATGATGTGTATATGTATCATGTGTATAAGTATCATGTGTATATGTATCATGAGTATCATGTGTATATGTATCATGCGTATCATGTGTATATGTATCATGTCTATATGTATCAAGTGTATATGTATCATGTGTATCTGTATCATGTGTATTTGTATCATGTGTATATGTATCAAGTGCATCATGTGTATATGTATCATGTGTATATGTATCATGTGTATATGTATGTATTAGAGAACGAACGTACCTTTTTTAAATAGGTTGAAAATCAACAATTGATTTGTTTGTATTTGGTAGAGAAGGAACAACAGGTGTAAAAAATGTAATTACCAAGACCTGCATAGGATATGCTAAGGATACAGAGGTATTGATCGATTACAGTAGAACAAGTTATTTATGTTGATTTTTTTTTATAATTTAGACCAAAAGGTATCTGCATATTGATTTTTTGGTATTATCTTACAGTAGGAGAACGAGTTTGCTGAAAGAAGGACCTTCCTCATTGGTTTATTTGCAATATCCGTGCATCGCACACAAAACAATATGGAGAGCCGATATTTGTGAATCCGTCTTTGTTGATTTAAAAGCACTGCGTCGTCTACTTTACATTTATAGAACTACATGTAGTGTAAGAAATATTTCTATCGTTAAATGAATGTGAAAATGTGTATATGAATGTGCTTAAAGTGATATTAATATGAATATTCAAATAGAAATATGCATATGCTAATTATTGTTTGCATGTGCTAATATGAATACTCATGAACATCCATATGAATTTTGATATTTTTTTCCTTTTCAGTACGACCTGGTGTGCGATGGGGCAGAATTAGCAGAATTATCACAAACTTTACTGATGGTCGGCCAGATGGTTGGGGCGGCCATTTTACCTCAGTGTTCGGACAGATTCGGGAGAAAGCCTATCCTTGTCTCCTCACATATCGGTTTACTTGTAGCAGGATTAGGGTGTTGTTTTATACCAACATTCACCGGATTCGCAATAATGAGGTTTCTCATTGGAGCCTTCCAACAAGTAAGATCTATATATTGTTTGTTTTTTTTCGTTTTATTTTTATTTTGTACCATGTCGTCTTAACATTTTGTTGTATTTCCTCATATAGTTACTCCCATTGGGACGTCCGAACCAAGATTAGTTACATGATGGTTTGGTATCGTCGTACTTAACCAAACAGATATATGGCGTCAAGGATCCAAGAAAATACAATTTGTATACCCCCTCCCCCTCTCAACGATGCACGGCGAGGAAGGGGGGCTGGAGTCAGGATGTCCGTCTGTTTATAAATCTTTAGAAGGAAGTGAGATTTACCTTAGATAGCTGTATAATTTCTCGATCATCATGCTTCTTTTCTAATATCGTTACATACATTTTGTCCGAGGTTCACCGAGTTATCTTCCCAACTGCCATTCATTTGACTTTGTAAGCATTATCCATAATCTATATAATTGTGTGCTCGCCTTTTATTTTCGATTTCGATTTTTTTCAGCAGGAATTATGCCCGTTTTTTTTATTTTTCCACTTATAGTGTTTGTCCTACAAACTCGACAGATTTTAACGACACTTTATACCCTAATCGAAATCTAACACTGATGTGAGATTGATATAAATTGGGTTTTTTCGCTTTGTTTAGTATTCTGAAATATCTTGACTGATATTTATCAAACTTCGTACGCAGGTTCAGGGGTCTTTTTTCCTTTTCATAATTATTATTATTATTATTATTATTATCCGATAGCAGTTTTTCAGATTCTCATTTATGATAAGGGTATATCTTTATAAAAAAAAAACATTCTTTGCGAAAATTTATGAATCTTGTGTTGCAATTTTCATAATCTCAAGTTACAAGTATCTGACGTACATGAATTAATTCATTTCTCACAACCGAGAATATGTTAAATTAAAGGTATGATCCAGCAAAAGTTGACAACATATGCCACCTAAGAGTGCCTCGATTGTCTGATATAAGATTCAGTCCAACAAGACAATACAACTTACTAGAACAGACATTCAATCCTGAAATATCCATAAATGACAATGTTAACAGGGACGTAACCAGGCGTACGCACGGACGCACGGGCTTCCACGTAATTTTTTAATTTTAACAAGGATCACATTGTAGAACTGTATGTGATAAACTTTAACAACTCATATAATCCTGGGCCCTCAGTGAAATCATTAGCTCATTGATATTGTTTCTTTTATTGACTATTTAACGAAAATGTTCCTTGTTCATATGGAACTAATTATTACGCATTTGTTAAAATATACTACAAGCCAAAAATGAAAACCAAACTCTCAGGAGGGGGTAATCCCCCTCCCGAACACACCCCCTACTCCGCGCTTCGTATGCTTCCACATACTCATATCCTGATTACGTCCCTCGTTAATGTCACAGATTTTTTCACCCCTGGCGGCAGGGGTATTACAATCCAGTATGTATTGTAGTTGCGACGTTTGTAAATGCCTGACAACAAGCACCGTTGTATTTAACAGGGACTCGCTATGACACGTCCTGCTATGATGCTCGAACTTTTTCCGAAGGAGGTGAGATATCTGACGGAAGTAGCGGCGTTATTCGCCTGGACAACCTCTGCGGTCGTCATGACGCCTATTGTTTACTTCCTCCGGGATCTGTCCTGGCGCTATCTATACCTCGTCCTCACGCTAACATCCGCTTATAGTGTCCTGGGATACTGGTAAGTACCACCAGATTTCTATGTTAAAGTCTTCTTTGGGTAAATTTAAGTTTTCAATGTTTTACAAAAATGGGGTTATTCGTCGGATCTTTTATTTAAGATATTTCAAAAATGAGTAAAATTTACGACTATTGAGAAATGATTAGGTGATTCGTCATGGTTACTGCATTTTATATAGATAACTAGTAGTTGCTTGTATGAAATAGTCATAAATATTTGTTAATTGAAACAGTTATATTCTTGTGTTTTCTATCATTTGTTGTCTTGCATTTTATCATATCCAGTTATAACGTGTTGGTAAGGTTACTAGCAGGTATAATTATATGACTACATCTATGGACCCTGTAATAAAGCAATTACATAAAGCTTCTCTCTGATACACATGTAATCAAGCCTGCAGGTACAACGATTGACTGGTTTCGTGTGAACTGTTTTAAAGCGCACGAGACCAACTTCTTTTTCCAACGAAAATAAAAATGAAAACTTTGTTCAAGAGCTCAATAACCAAACACAATCCTCCGCACCAAATAATGCAAATAAAAACTGTTAGGGTGTAAATGATTACAGTCCTGTGAATTTCGCTAACATATGATATATTGAAAACAGGAACTAGAAGCCTATGGGGGAATGTAAACATTGTGCACCTTCATGAGTCCGGACCAAGGTCACATGTCCCTGATCCTTTGGACATCTAGAGAAGAGGAGATACCCCCATGTTTGATAAATTCTCGGGTTTTCTTCATTTCTTTAATGTTTGTAATGCTTCCTTTAAATCCTTTCCTGTGTGTGGTGTTATCCCGTGAAGTATTCTTTAAAACTGTACCCGATGTCACCGTCGATTTCTTGGTATTGGTAGAGTTGGCAATCTCCAATGAGGTGACTTTCTCTTTTGCAAAAATATATAGTCTGCCACTGAGCGAGCCACAATCACAAGGAAATTCGCATTGATCAGCATTTAAATCAATACATATATCAATCAAGTATTGGCCAAGGCGGCCTTGTTTGACGACTGCAATACAAAACAGAACACACATCTGCACGTGTCTACCAATTGCTAACGTAAAATTTCGTAAGTATCCGGCAAATCGTTTCTGAAAAAATTCCGGAAACTATTTGTCGGAAGAATATTTTTTTCTAAGAAACATGTCTATTATTTTACCTTACCATGGGAAGGCATTACAAAATTTTTAAAGAACGATTTCGCAGAAAATACTGACAACGGGGATGCTATATCTATGTTCCAGAAGCTCTTTGTAAGAGAGTCGAAATTTAGATGAAAAGTTTAGGTAATGAAAGCTTATAAAATGCTAGATGTAATATTTTAATATTAGTTGTAATCCTACAGGATATATGACGAATCTGTCCGATGGCTTCTGACGAATGGCAAAACAGCAAAAGCAATGACGATTTTGAAAAAGGCTGCAAGGATGAATAACGTCGACGAGGAAAAGATCATGATGATAGTCGACTGGGCTTCAGCTGTAAAACTCAACACAGAGGAGAAAGTTGATATCGGCGTGGAAAGTGAGATGAAAACGGAGACTATATTTAGGAATGACGATAGATATACCAGCAGGAACGTGCTACCGAAGTACACCATCATAACTTTGTTTAAAAGACGCAGAATAGCAATGATAACTCTTATAATGATCTTTGCCTGGTAAATATTCATAATAACTTTTTAGTTTTTTGTATCTATTTATAAGTTTCATCAAATGACAAAACGAAGTGTCAAAACACACGTAATTCCGACTCAGGTTGGGCGTTTTCCTGCATCATCTAAGAAACCCACCTGTTAATCTTAATCTTATCCAAGTAACGGCACGTCCTCATAGCGAACACTCTGGTAGTGACAACGGAACAAGACGCGTAAAAGGTCAATTGTTATTTGTTAATATAAATGATTCATTATTTATTGGAACATTTTGGGTTTAGGTAGAGATAAAGGTTGAGCCTAATCCCTAGTCACTCCTCTAATTAACTTATGCCAATTACTAAAGTAATGAATTGTATAGATGTGGCAGACATCCTTGCATAACTGCCATTTGTATCACAGAAAACCTGAATAGGGCGTGACAGCAAGTTGTTTTTTAAAATAAACGCGGTTATAGGCGGACAAGGTTAATAACTAAAAGGCCACAGAAGGAACAGCTTTCGTCAAAATTACACAAAATTTAAATGATAAAACAAAGCTATCAGACCTGATTCATTTGTTTAAAAAAGAATAAGTTGACATAAATTAAACAACCATTTTATTAAGTCAACGTCGACTAAAGTGCTGTGGAAGGTTTAAACACGTTTACAGGAACTATCTCACAGGCGCTTAGTCACTTAATGTTAGCAATAGTATACAGGCAATGTATTCATTTATAGAAAGGCATTGCCTCTCACAATAATGTCAGTTTTGAGTAAACATTGCCAAACCGTGTTGACTAAGCTGCCATTTCCCCTGATGTCATGCCAAGATTGAAGGTTGAAGTGCATTGGGAATATACATTTATTCCGTTTTGTCACCTCTTCTTCCCGCGACGGGCTACACCGAGCCGATATAAAGGCAGTAAAGTATGTAGGAAAAAGTGCGATAGAGTTGGCTTTTATTTTAGTAAAATAAACATTTTTATGATAAAAGTAAAAAAAGGATTATTTTATTGTGGTACACTTTGAATATAAAAAGTGATAGAAATATTTAAAGATTGTAGATAAAAATGAAACACACAAAGGTTTGCAATGTTACCACTTTGGACACCGAGGCCGTTTTCGTGTAAGCGGCTGAACCGGTCGGACCACAGATGTTCGTTTACTAAATAAGGTCGGACCTAATAATCTGATGCTACTTTCAGGCGAGCCTTGACAAAGCCTTGCAAGGCCTGCATAAACATGTGCAGGTCCGCCAGGATTAATACCCGAAATTGTTGCATTTAAAAACGGACAAACGAACAGGCCTCAAGTGTCTTGCAGATGTCGGCCATAGTAATAAGCCATAAGATAGAAAAAAAATCAAAAAAAATCCGAGAGTTGTATTTTCCCCATCTTAGAACCTGGGAATGTTAGAGTATTTTGCTTTCATTATAATTACTAGAATTATGTCAACATCGTCGCAATTTCCGCATCGAGGCATCAGAATGTTCCGCAATTTTGATGACAATCATTATGTTCTCATTTTGACGTCGCGCATCTAAAACAGAGAGTAGGTTAGAAATTTCTACCACCCATAACTAACCCTGGTCATTCTGTCATAAATTCACAGGGATGAGAGAAATAAAAATCACGCATGCTGCCACCAAAGGACACGCACATCTTGCTTCTCGATAACAAATACTGTTTACCGGGAAAGTGTCGCCCAGTTAAACGTTCGCTTTTCGCCAGAAAATTCCATATTGGCCATGTATGAGCTTCGCCTTTCACTTTTAATTACAATGTATACAATGTTGTTATTAATGCTCGCTGAAATGATAAAATCATCCTCGTTAGGGAGGGCAAAAAGGCGAAAATTAAACTGCAGCGAAAATTTCCCGTTATACAGTATACATTATGATTAATGCACCAAAATTGCCGTATATACATCATGTACCAAAACAAACAGATGCTTAATACATGCTTTATACTGTCAGGACAGCCCGTACATATCATAACTAACAGCCGAAACAGGACATATACCTCTTGTTTAGTATCAACTAGAAAACTACAAAATATAGGACATATGCCACTTGTTTAGTATCAAGTCGAAAACTGCAAAAATATAGGACATAAACGTTATAAACAAAGTAAATACATCCCGTATTACATAAACAGGTCGAATTTTACCGTGGTCGCTGGTTTTCACCAGCAGAAAAATACCAGATACATTTCCGTTTACAACGTACCGTCCAGGCCAACAACTGTGAATACACAAGTTGATAGGTCTCTATTATCAATATAAAATTAAAAAGAGTTTATTTCAAATTCATCAGCATACATTATATGATTACATACTGGCAAATGCAGACGGAATAAAAGCTAACAAACTGGCAGATAACTTCCACACATGCATTGTACTTTAGAGTGAATTGACATGGACAAACAGACTTGACAATGAATTTACATGGACAAACAGACTTGACAAAAATGTACATGGACAAACAGACTTGAGAATGAATTCGACATGGATAAAGATATTTAACAATAATTTTGACATGGATAAGACGACTTTATCTTACTGAATAAGAAGACTTTACGTTACTTAATAAGAAGACTTACTAATGATGCTAGTGATGATAAGTGTATCTAAAGACATCTGTTGATATGAACATGTAAGGGTAACATGAAGCAGAATATATTCTTAAATGTCGAAAGAATATAATTTCAATGCTGGGACGATTGTATTTATGTCACAGATGAGGTTAGCCAAGAATCAATCTTCTGGTAAACCTTTGTAAATATTCCAATCTAAGACAAAATAATTCCAAATAGAAAAACAAATGAAAATTCTTGCTATAAAACCGAACTTAATAATTAGATCAAGAAAACATGAACCATCGCATTTAAATTGATCATCGCTATTGTCACTAACATAAAATATGTTTTAAGTTTTTGTGTATATAAGAGTGCCTACATATAGCATAGTTTGAGTTGAATTTCACGGAATTGTCAATGTAGTTGTGCAAAATTTGAATGTTTGAAAACAAATTGAACAAGACAATGCAAGGACCTTTGAACTTTGGACCCATTCACTGCTAATCAGTAATTCAATAATGTCGCTACTGAGGATTTCTTAATGCACAGCATCAAAATAAAAATAAAAAAAGACCGTACATGGGCAGTAACTAAGCAAATCGCCTGTGCGTTGCTTCCCTAACTATGTGAGTCTCTCTACCTTGAGGATACATTTGCTGTACGGACGTTCATAGTCAAAATCTGGGGATTAAATTTGCACTTTTATTTTAAAAACTGAAGTATTAGGCCGATATTTTTTTTGTACAAATACGTTATATTTAAATGTTTTATTATATTCCCGGACACTATAGGTTAGGGACTTGTCCGGAATGTCTTTTACATACAACTGTGAAAAGTAATAACAATTCCACATTTCATTCTACAGGACCGTTGACAGTTTGACCTTCTACGGTTTGATCCTGTCCTCAGCCTCTTTGCCTGTTGACCGATATCTGAGTTTCTTCCTGCTTGCCGTCGCTGAATACCCTGTTGTAGTGTTCGAATACACGCTGATGAATCGGTATGCTGATGTTATTTTCATACCAAATCCGTCGATTTGAAAATTGTTTTATATTTTTCATCATATTTTATAGAGTAAACAATGAAACTGAACAGCAGGCTAGACCTATATATGTTCTCTCCTTAAGTTGACATGACAAAACTGAAACGGTTAGTAAGAAAATATTGATGCAAATTTTATATTAGAAGTAGCATAGATCCCAAGTCTATATATAGCAGATGGTATAGGGGAGATAATTACATGTATGTTTTTTTAAGGACCTTAACTATGATGTTCATGTAATTAGATAGTGTTTGACATTTACTGTATTAGTAGGATAAGTACAAACTACTGAACAAATCTATGGGCTACCCTGTTTGACATTATCATTGATGTAATCTGTGACCTACCCTAAGCAAATCGATAGGCTACCCTGTTTGACATTATCAGTGATGTAATCTGTGACCTACCCTAAACAAATTTATGGGCTACCCTGTTTGACATTGTCATTGATGTAATCTGTGACCTACCCTAAAACAATTCTATGTGCTACCCTGTTTGACATTCTCATAGATGTACCTACCCTAAAACAAATCTATGGGCTACCCTATTTGACGTTAATGTAGATGTAATCTGTGACCTACCATAAAACAAATCTTTGGGCTACACTGTTTGACATTAATGTAGAAGTACCTACCCTAAAACAAATCTATGGGCTACCCTGTTTGACAATGTCATTGATGTCATCTGTGACCTACCCTAAACAAATTTATGGGCTACCCTGTTTGACATTGTCATTGATGTAATCTGTGACCTACCCTAAACAAATTTATGGGCTCCCCTGTTTGACATTGTCATTGATGTAATCTGTGACCTACCCTAAACAAATTTATGGGCTAAACTGTTTGACATTGTCATTGTTGTAATCTGTGACCTACCTTAAAAGAAATCTATGGGCTACCCTGTTTGACATTAATGTAGATGTACCCACCCTAAAACAAATCTATGGGCTACCCTGTTTGACATTGTCATTGATGTAATCTGTGACCTACCCTAAAACAATTCTATGTGCTACCCTGTTTGACATTCACATAGATGTACCTACCCTAAAACAAATCTATGGGCTACCCTCTTTGACAATGTCATTGATGAAATCTGTGACCTACCCTAAAACAAATCTATGGACTTCCCTGCTTGACATTCACGTAGATGTACCTACCCTAAAACAAATCTATGGGCTACCCTGTTTGACAATGTCATTGATGAAATCTGTGACCTACCCTAAAACAAATCTATGGACTTCCCTGCTTGACATTCACGTAGATGTACCTACCATAAAACAAATCTATGGGCTACCCTGTTTGACATTGTCATTGATGTAATCTGTGACCTACCCTAAAACAAATCTATGGGCTACCTTGTTTGACATTCACATAGATGTGTCTACCCTAAAACAAATCTATGGGCTACCCTGTTTGACATTAATGTAGATGTACCCACCCTAAAACAAATCTATGGGCTACCCTGTTTGACATTAATGTAGATGTACCCACCCTAAAACAAATCTATGGGCTACCCTGTTTGACATTGTCATTGATGTAATCTGTGACCTACCCTAAACAAATCTATGGGCTACCTTGTTTGACATTAATGTAGATTTAATCTGTGACCTACCCTAAAACAAATCTTTGGGCTACCCTGTTTGACATTAATGTAGATGTACCCACCCTAAAACAAATCTATGGGCTACCCTGTTTGACATTCACATAGATGAAGCTACCCTAAAACAAATCTATGGGCTACCCTGTTTGACAATGTCATTGATGTAATCTGTGACCTACCCTAAAACAAATCTATGTGCTACCCTGTTTGACATTCACATAGATGTACCTACCCTAAAAGAAATCTATGGGCTACCCTGTTTGACATTCACATAGATGTAATCTGTGACCTACCCTAAGCAAATCGATAGGCTCCCCTGTTTGACATTATCAGTGATGTAATCTGTGACCTACCCTAAACAAATCTATGGGCTACCTTGTTTGACATTCACATAGATGTGTCTACCCTAAAACAAATCTATGGGCTACCCTGTTTGACATTGTCATTGTTGTAATCTGTGACCTGCCTTAAAACAAATCTATGGGCTACCCTGTTTGACAATGTCATTGATGTAATCTGTGACCTACCCTAAACAAATCTATGGGCTACCCTGTTTGACATTAATGTAGATGTACCCACCCTAAAACAAATCTATGGGCTACCCTGTTTGACAATGTCATTGATGAAATCTGTGACCTACCCTAAAACAAATCTATGTGCTACCCTGTTTGACATTCACATAGATGTACCTACCCTAAAACAAATCTATGGGCTACCCTGTTTGACATTAATGTAGATGAAATCTGTGACCTACCCTAAACAAATCTATGGGCTACCTTGTTTGACATTCACATAGATGTGTCTACCCTAAAACAAATCTATGGGCTACCCTGTTTGACATTAATGTAGATGTAATCTGTGACCTACCCTAAAACAAATCTTTGGGCTACCCTGTTTGACATTAATGTAGATGTAATCTGTAACCTACCCTAAAACAAATATTTGGGCTACCCTGTTTGACATTAACGTAGATGTAATCTGTGTTGGACTAATATGTTTGACATCAACGTCGATTAAACTTTGACCTCCATTAAAAGAAATCTTTGGGCTACCCTGTTTTACCTTAACATATACATGAGTCTTAAAACAAGTAAATAATTTGAAGCCACTCAATGAATAAAGTGTATCGCCGTCAACGAAAAGTTAATAAAATGCTTAGGATGTGGGATACTCACACTGTGTTATGTGAATACCATCACATCATTGTTTTTCCTATCTTTAGTAATTTAACACTATATTAAGCTATCGTTTTTCCTGGGAGTGTTCCGTGCCTACAGAGTGGTGAGTGTATCGTAGTGTCCTGTTTCTCTATTTTACAGTTTAGGACGAAAGTGGTTCTGTATAATTTTCCATGCTGTAGCGGCTCTGTCACTGATAGCAGGG